GCATAGCCGGATATTCGATCCGATGTACGATAAAGCTAAATCGTCGGGCCCTTGGGTGGGGCAATCTATTTGTGTGTTTGTATTATGTTATAAGGCCACTCCACTACCACCATTTTGTAATAATTATCGAACTTAGTTGTAAGGTTTGAAACTACTATTTTGTAAACTAAGTTATGGTAAGACTTGGCTATTTTACTACGATGTAGATATTTGAATAAATGTTGTATCTTGCAATGACTACGTAATATGATCACCTTTCGGAAATTGTGGATGATTCGAGGGGTTCTCCAAGGACACTCTGGCAGGTCTTCTTAAGTTACCAAGAACATATGCATAGATGTCAAAGTGTCGTTAGACGATGGTAGGTGCATGTGGGCCCTATAATTTAGGAGGTTACTGCCACACATACTGTTGCTAGATTCCTCTGCGCATGAAGTTCCCACCTCTTGACAAAATATTCATTGCACTTTTTAAAGCGAGAACTCAATAATTTCATGAAACCACGGGCAATGATCGAACTCCTTTGAATACATGGTTGAAAGACTCTAATGAGTTGGTGGTCATGATCTAGGTACACAAAACACGCCCTCGTAATATGCTAGCTTTTGTAGCCTTCTATTCCATCTAAGCGTCTCTAACAGGGCCTTGCACCTTCGTTTAACATCTTGTCTGGTTCTCTCTTTGTTTTGAGGTCTTGAGTGGTGCTCTTCTACATACACAACATAGAGCCTTTACCTTGTCACAAACCTCCTTCCTCGATACCTCCGAAATTAGCGGCAAAATGTCGCATGCACCATCATGCACTAGAGGGGGAACCCATTGATATGTTCATCATAGCATTAAGAAGCGAAGCTTGCGTGTGGTCCAGTTGTTGAGATCAAACATATAGTGCGAGATGGGCCAATGCCTTATACACAGAAATCGCATGAACCATGACCACGATTTATTGTTCTCTCCCTCTTGCCAAAGCAAAAGCCATGGGTACTATCTGGTCCTCGGATCAACGTGCAAACCATCATCAAGGTGCCCTGTACTTTCCAGGTTGAGAAAGTGCCATCAATAAAGTCTGTTGGTGATAATACTAGAATGCATGTTTTTTATGCATGCGACGACGAACAACACGATCACGGGACATGCCTCATTGGTAGCTTTTGTACAGAAATCCTTGAAATACATCCCTCGATGTCTATAAACCATTTCAAGTTAGGGTTGTAGTAATGCATTACACATAATATTTTTAGGGAACCTGTGTACACTTCCTCCGACTACTAGCGAATCGCCATGGCAATTTGTTATGCGTAAGCCTTTCTATACTTCACATCATACTTATGAAACCGGATATGGATACATTGTAAGGAAGACACCAAAATGTCGTTATTGTCATCAGCGAGCCCCAATATATCGTCGACCGCATGAGGTAAAACATGTAGTGAGCTCTTGATGATTTTCCTTCCCCTTATTTGATAGGCAAGTGTGGGGTTGGACCACTTCCTTACTTATCCTCCACTTGTCATCACTCTCTGTCTCTTTAGTGCATTTAACCTCCACATACAACCATTTTTACATATCACATGGTACCTCAACTCTTGGTCCGAATGAGTGGCGTTATACGGCCTATGGTGATGAACAACATAGTCCTAAAGGAGCGACTTCATATCGACATTGTATTGAATGTCATCCCTTGCTAAGGATTTCATTCTCATGGCCATACAATGATTTCTTACACATCTGCAGGACCGGTGTCACAAGCGCCATATCAAGTCATCTCGACATCCCTATAGTCCGGAAGCATGCTTTGAAAGGTATGTTCATCTACCTCGGTTGCATAAGCTCTGTCGTTATGTAGGGTGGTGGTAGAACATCTCTTGTTGTGCTTTGCTAATTCTAGCCCATGAAGCATAGGGGTATCATCCTCACGGCAAATCTATGACTAGTCTACCATGAGCCCGATATAGCATGAACTACCTTAGTTGATCGCGATAATGACATAGCATGAACCCGGTGCGGCATGGCATCAATCGGTGTTGGCATAGCATTGCTACCTTCTTGGTCATCATCCGAATCAATGCGAATCACTTGCTAACTACATCACCGATCCTGTCCTCCTCCTCCTGTTCCTCCTCTTCTCGTTCACATCAAAGTCATTGCATACATAGCCTACTGAGAACCGCCTAGAATCATCGACTGCCATTGGAGTTGAATGAAGCTGCTCTTGCGTCAACTGACCGTCCAAATCCATGTTACCCTAAGTTGCTTCCCCTTCGACCTCCAATTCTTGTTCATTGCCTCCAACACCGTCAATGGACGACCGATCCTTGAGACCCTACATCATCATGCCCATTCTCACCACCACCTCGATACATGGGTACATTGGAACATTGGATCACCCTATTGTGGCGGGACCCGATGAGCATGGTGGGTGCAAGGGCATCAGGACATAGTGTTCCTAGTCTTTCCACTATCAAACCTCCTCACAGCAGTGTGAATTCACCACCAAACTTTGCATTCAAGCGGACACAAAATTCGTTGAAGCTAGGAGGTTCATCAAACCATTCAATTCTTCTTCCATATACTAAAACATACCATCTTCTTTCCCTAACACTTCCTCAAGTAAAAAACTTCGGACACAACAATCCATCTACAAAAGTATTTGAGGAAACTTCATCAAATCGTCCAAATCGTACGTATCATGCACTACTAAATACCAACACTTCAAAGCTAGTATCTATACTAACTATCATTACTACTAGAAACTAACTAAACCCTAACTACCTAACAATCCCTAAAGCCAAAGTCCTAACTAACAATAACCTAAACCCTAAACCCCAAATCCTAACTAACAAAAACCTAAACCCTACATTTCCTAACCAAACCCTAAACCCAAAATGCGTAACTAACAAAAACATAAAGCCTAACTACCTAACCATACCCTAAAACCAAAATACCAAACTATACCAAATCACTAACCCCTAATCAATTGATTCAAAATTAATCACCAAAATGAGGGTCTTGGAGGTACCTTAGCAACAACAGGGGAGACCTGCAGGGGTCAATCCAGGCAACGGAGAGGACATTGGCGTCCTTGGCCGGTGGCGGTGCCTGTCTGACCCGGCCACCAAGGGAGGGTAGCGGCTGGCCAAGGGCTGACCCCCACCCTCTGGCACCGACGGATGTGGAGGACCCAGGGAGGTCGACCGGCCAGGCTGCTGGCCAGGCGTGGTGGCGTGAGCGTCACAGCCCAGGCGGCGGCGCGTGAAAGGAGAAAGGAATGGAGAGAAAAAGGAAGAGGATGCGCGTCGTGGGCCTCTCTGGGCCCCTCGCGCCATGTCTTGATAAGTAGCGTCGGTGCAGCATCCAAAAGATCTGTGGCTGCACAGAGCTATGCCATGTCACGGTCGGCGCTGGTCGGCTGCCACGGTGGCAACCTGTAACGCCGCCATGCATGGCGCGATAGCGTGGTTTGGCGCGCCATGGCAGTTAAGCGCCGTCCAAAGTGCTAAATTTGAAAATAAAAATAAACAGTATAAAATTTGGAAATAGTTTTAAACAAGTGTTAAAAAAATCACTCTTGAAGATGCCAAGGCGCATGACTCTAGCGAATTTGTCTAGATCAATAAAACCAAGCCCCCCATATCACGTTGTCTACAAGTCCTTTGGCCAGTTGATTCTTGATGGCCGGTCCAAAAGAAGCGTTTCCTATACTTGTCGAGAAGAATCCAACTACTAGTGAAATAAAACCATAACAACAACATACATCTATCACTAATTGATAGAGCTTGTTATACACAGCAGAAACTTTTATTGGTTGTGAAATTCTTACATTTCAAATGGACCCACAAAATCTTTAAAACAATGAATTACATACATACTTTCGTCTAGACAAAAGTCCCTTCTCTATTCAGGGGTCGTCACTGTCAGACGTCTCCTATTGGACTCTTGCCTGTTGCTGACGATTGACCCTTTGTCGTTGGTCCTGTTCGGACATTTCCATGCTCGATGGACAGTTTGTCTTGCACTGCTGCACCTGTCAGCACTCGAGCGCTTTCAGGTAGGAGTAGTTGTATACTAGTATTTGCTTGTTTGAAATCAGGAATTCAAATTTGTTCAGTACAACCAGCTTTCTCGCTACCCCTTTTAATTGTATATAAACTAGAAATCACTCTCCTTTTGAATGAAGAAGAAAAAGCACAAACAGGAACAAACACTTGAGGCCAGTGAGGCGTTTTCTAATCCTGCTTTCTTAGATCACCTTGTGATGTGAGCGATGAAGTCTTCGAGGTCCTTGCGGGATGACCCGCCATCCGCCGCGGACGCACGGACGGCCTCGCCGATCGCCGTTGCCCGCTGCCGCACGGGTAGCCCATCGTCGAGATCATCAACCTCTCGATCACCGCCGCCTGTATGGTTGCCGCCGGTATCACCTCGGCGTGCTTCTCGCATAGCCTCACTGGGAAGCCTGCCTTGAGGTACTGGCACACCAGCTCGGCGTCCCACGGTTGGTCGGAGTGCATGGGCCACGCCAGGATGGGCTTCCGTGGCTCATGCTCTCCAAGGTCGAGTTCCAGCCGCAGTGGCTCAGGAACGCCGCCGTGGCGCCGTGCGCCAGTATCTCCAACTGCGGCGCCCACCCGGTGATCACCAGCCCCGTCCCCTCGGTCTCCTTGGTGAACTCGGACGGGAACTTGGCGTGCCGGCTCTCGTCGGACTCGGGTATATGTCGGCGCGGTCGGCGTCGCGCAGCACCCAGATGAAACGCTGGTTGCTGCCGCGCAGCATCCGCAACAAGCTCCTTGATCTGCTCGCCGCGCAGCAGGGACATCGACCCGAACGAGACGTAGAGTACGGACGCGGCCGGCTGCTTGTCCGAGCCAACCAAGGCACTCGTGCCGCATCGCGCCAAGATCGTGCGCGCTCGGGCCGAGCATCGGGTTTAACGGGCCGATAGAGAAGACCTTCTTGCCGCCGGCGGCGCCAGCTGCTGGGTGACAAAGTCGATGAACTCACCCTCGAGCGCGCGGGACGTGTTCATGACGACGCCGGCGCTGGACGGGATCGTTTGCGCGGACCTCGCGCTCTTGCCGATGAACTCGAGGAACTCCTCCGTCACGAAGGCGTGGACGGGGGAGGTCGGCGAGGCCGTGCACGTCGCGCATGAGCTGGGTCCCGCCGTCCATGTGCCAGACGATGGACGACGCGGCGGTGCAGTGGAACGCGAACCCCTCGCCGTTGGGCAGCCGGGCGGCGTCCTCGGCGGCGAAGGCGTTGATGACGTCGTACATGACGACGACGCGACGGTGGGACGCGGAGAGCCCGCGGAGGAGCGCCGCGAGCGCGGCGGGCGCGTCGGCGATGAACGCCTCCCACAGGGGCATGAGGTGGGAAGGGTAGGGCGAGGCCGCGGCGGGGTCGGGCGGCGGAGAGGCGTACTCGGAGATGGCGAGCTCGTGGAAGTCGATGCGGCGGAGGTCGTCGTCGCCCCAGCCGTGCACGCGCGCGCGGGCCTGGTGGACGTGCTCCGCTGGCGCCGCGTAGTGCACGGGCAGCCCGCGCGCGGCGAGCTGCAGCGACAGGTGCAGCAGCTGGTTCAGGTGGCCCTGCGCCGGGAACAGGACAGCCACGACGGCAACTGACTCCATAGGGTAGTAGGGGAGCGAGAGGGCGGCTTCTGTTTCCAACCACTGTGCACTCGACTGCCGGTGATCCCGTACGTGTGGCTCCCAGTGCAGCGGGAGGATGGCCTGAATACAGCGGCGTGCTATATATCCAGCTTCGCAGCAAGGCTGCAGTCCTGCGGTGCAGTCAGCGGTTATGCAGTGCTGACGCTGTGCCATGCCGCTCTGCCGTCTCCCGGCTGCCGGCGTGCCATTCACGCGACACAATTTTGCAGGCCAACCGGCAACGGCACGACGTTTGCTTCAAGAAATTATTCCTGCTACTTGCTACACCGATGATAAAATTTCCTTTTCTCAGAGACTGATGACTGGTGAATCTGGAGTGCCTGCCAGTATAGTATGATTGAGTAAACAATGCTCACTTCTCCGTTTGATTTGGTCATCGTAGAAAAGTAGTTCTGCTTTAATTGACCAGACAATTTACAGTATAAGAAACGCTAGAAGCGTAGAATATTCAGAACGGAAGATCTTGGCGTCGTAAGTCTTTCCTGGTCTCTGTTTTGTTGGATCAGTGGATGGCAACGTGTCGGATGAGGCGTGGGTGGCTCTCTCAGTCACAGCACCTAAGATCTTGTTAACCTAGCAACAGTTTCATTTATTTTCTCAAGCACCTTCAGCAAATCCTCCATATTGGCCTTGATCTTGGATTTGATGATGTTTACTTTTAAGTAGAAGCTCTTGGTCATCTTCAGACGTTTCAGATATCACTGGAACTCCTACAGTGGACATATGACGCAATTATTAATGTAATAATAAAATAACTAGCAACATCAGATGTAAAAGATTGGGCATTTAAATTCGAAAGGTACTTGATCTGTGTAAGCTTAACTTGTACTTAAGATAATAAACATTGAAACTAGTTTAATTTGGTTTTGTTCTAAGTCAAACTTCTCTAACTTTGACAAAATTTTAGGAAGGAAGAGTATATATAGTAAGATCTACATGTTTAAATGAATGCAAAATCAAAATATATTTTATGAAGAATTTAATGAAACTAATTTTATGATGTGAATATTGGTGGATTTTTTTATAAACTTGATCCAAGTTTTAAAATTTTGATTTAGGATAAAAAAAAAAGTGAATTGTAATTTAGAATGGAGGAGTAACACTAAGTAACTCGACTCTTCAATGCAGCCATGACTCACCAAAGCACTGAATCCACCGCCCACTTTGAGCCTCCAACTCCCGGGCGCTGAAGCCACCCCTCGACCGCACCCCTCCACCTCTGTCCTCCATGGCCCGGCACACTAGTGCGGGCGGTGGTGCCCCTCCGGCCTCTCCATCGGCCCTCGCCCCTCGAGACCAAGCCTCCTCCTTGTGCCTCGCCGCATCAGCTAGCCGGCGCTGGGGCTGGGTGGCCAGGCGTGCCATGTAGATCCTGCTACTGGCTATACCAAAATTCACTAGGCGTCTACACCACATCCATAGGCAATCAATGGACTCGAGAAGGCCGTCACTGGATTGCATGGGACAAATTCACCAAGCCAAAGGGGAGACGGAGGCTGGGCTTCCAAGACCTAAGGATTTTCAACAAGCTCTGTTAGGGGCGGCAGGCCTGGAGACTGCTGGATAGACCAGATAGCTTGTGTGAGTGCTGAAAGCAAAATATTTTACAAACAGCAACCTCCTAGACACAGCTTTCCCTGTGAATCAGTCCCAACATTGAGAGACATTGTGCATGGGCTGGAGCTGGTGAAGAAAGGAGTAATTTGGAGGTTGGATCGGTGACTTCGAGTTCGGATCTGGAGAGACCAGTGGGTGTCGAGGTCTGGAACTTCGACCGATTTGTAAAGAGGTGGCCATGTTGCTTAAAGTAGGTCCATCATATCAGCTCATTGATCACCAGGATGGAATGGAATGCGAATACACTTAATAGATTCTTACGGCGGTGGATGTCCGAGGAAATAATGAACATCAAGCTTCCCTCCACCCCGGGGAGATTTCTTTGCTTGGCATTATGGTGCGAATGGCCTTTTCTCGGTCAGGAGTGCTTATTGCTGGCCAGGAGAACCCGGCGGAGGAATTCGGAGGAACTCAATCAACGTCGGCCGACCTAGACGCCACACAAGATTCTTATATTCGGATGGAAAGCGATGCACAATGGCTTAGCTCATGGCTGAACAAACATCACGAAATATTGTGGTACATAATAGATGTGAAATTTGTGGACACAGGGTGGACTCGGTGAATCATGCTTTAATCCAATGCTCGACAACTCCGATCAGCAATGAGGGCAGATTTGGGTATTGCCGGATGAGAGCAGATTACTATCTGTTGGTCCACAGAATTTCTTTGGTATTCCTCATGGACTTGGAGGGGATATGTGTCGGTGTTTGGATCACCGGCTAGTAAATTTGCATCCACGATGGTGTGCTCGGAGACACAAGGATTTATCTTTGGTTGGACTGGGAGAATGTCCCTCACGATCTGTTCTTTGCTTTCGTCTTCTGGCACTAGTTTGTAGTAGGGGTTACAAGCAATTGAGAGAGGGCGGTTCCCAGTCTCTAGTGGAGAGATTGAAGAATCTTGATAGTTTCTTCAAGCTGCTCGATCGTGTCCTCCTTGCTCTTTCTTGGGGCGTCCTGCTTCCTCTTTTATAGGTGAAGGGAAGGCGCGAGATTCTGAGAGAAAAAAAGAAGAAAAGCAAGGGAGAAGAAGGCCTCAAGCACGGGGTCCTTCTTCTCCTTCATGCGGGTCCCACCAAACACCTTAGATGGTGGCGGGGATGGCTCCACGTTGGGCTCCTATTCTGCACTGGTGCCATGCCCAGCGTCATCGGTGGTCGTGGCGTCCCATCCCGTCCGTGAATGGCGTGGCGAACCGACATGCACATCCCACGACCGTATGGGGAGTAAGCGGACTGGCGACCACGCACCCATCAGCATTGGCGATGTGAATCCCGGGCGTGGCTTGGCGTGGCCATGGGTCACGTTGAGGCGTGTCCGCTTCCTTCCCGGTGTCGAGAGTTTGACCTGAGGTCGTACCCTTAGACCCGTAGTGGTTGGAAGCGGTATGGATCCCCGTCGGGCAAGGCGGAACTGTGCCCTTAAGGGTTGGGCGGAATGAACCCGTGCCCTCGAGGTCGTCTTGGGATGGCTCTCGTACCCTCGGGTGGGGCAACATGGGCCCGTGCCCGAGGGTGGGCGAGCAGAGCCGTGCCCTCGAGGTTAGGTGGGGCGGCTCCGTACCCTCGGTCAGGCGACAGGGCCCGTGCCGAAATTCTGCAGATGGCGTAACCCGTCCCTTGAGGTCGGTCGTGACCGAAATCGTCCTCGATTATCTAAATGAGTTTGTCATCCGTGGTCCTCGGATCCCTTCTTTGGGTATCTCTAATCTGACACCCTCTGATGGCCCACAGGCCTGCGGAGGGTAGGGTACTCCTTAGTAGGCTTTTTGAATGGAGGGACTTGAGGGCTTGATCTTCTGCGCCCATGGGATGCCTTGGTGAGTTGCGATTCCTTCTATCGTGATCGGACTCCTTGGGAACATGTTCTTGCGGGATTTAGGAAGGCGGAAAAGATTTCTCTTGATTGATCCTCCCTCGGATCCGATCGATCCGCCATCGTCATGCGACCATGTATTCGGTCTCCTTGCGGTCCAACTTCCTTTGAGCCCCCACGCATAGCGGGGGGAGTCCGATCGATGGGTCAGCTCATCTTGTGATCGTCCTCCCTCAAAGCGTTTTTTTCGATAAAGCGGAGGGCTGAACGTGCCATGTTTTCCTCGATGGACAAATCATGGTGCTCGGTGAAATTTGATAGCAGAAAGTCCGAGTGGGGCCACAGCTTCCGTTAAGTGGGGGTCCGATATGGGTTAATGGTGGTGACTCCAGATTCTTAGCGGCCAATCCATATAGTTCCTAGATGCATTACGACCCGGTCCTAAGAACTCGCTTGCCTTTCTTCAAGGAAAAACCATAGGCGTGAACCGACCAAGACTTGAGCGTGGGCGGGATGCTGCGGCAGCACTCGTGCTTCAGTCTTGGCAGCGCAATGGGCCATTCCTTTCCACCCTCACTCTAAAAGGCGCCTCGGGCGGTTGTGAACCCGCCCGGTGGGCCAACCTTTGAACTCTGGGCACGAATGTGCCGTGGGGCGTTTTCAGCTCTATATCCCTCTTGACTTTGTGGCGGTTCTCGGCCCATTGAATGGGGCGAACCATCATCCGGTGTGTCCTTGAGGAAGTAGCGGATGTAGGCGTCGCCGCGTTGCTTTCGGAGAAAGCGATGTGGCGATCTTGCGGTGGGTGTGTTCAAGGAAGCGGAAAGAGGTGGCGGCGCCACGTTTCGAAGAAGGTGATGTGGCCTTGGCGTGGTGGGCGGCGTAGATCTGGCGGACGGTTCACCTCTCGCTTCACTCTGCCTTATAAATAGCAGCCTCCCCTTCATGTTTGGCACACTAAACCGCAACCTTGCGTTCTCCGCCTTTCATTGTCGTTGATCGGATCTGCGCCCTTGCTCATCCACACCCGACGCCCTAGATCCATAGCATTAAACTTCTCCACCACTACCAAAAGTCCTTACTCCTCCGTCTTTGCTTTCCATGGAGTCATGGTACCGCTCCAAACGTCACCCACGCGCGCGCATGGAGGGCCTTGTCAAGCCGCGGTCTTCTTCACGGGAGGACCATCACGATGGAGTGGTTGGTTCTCGACCGACGATGTGTGCGATGCCGTAGCGGTTACATCTTCTCCTTCGCGCCCTTCCACGGCGTGGGTTCACAATCCACCTCATCCATTCTTTGAAAATTGCTTTGCACCACTACTAGATTAATGGCGGCACCTCAACTAATGAGATCCAACATTGTGGCCTTCATCGCGATGTGCGAGGGTGCCTAGGGATCGAAACCACACTTGAGTTGTGGAGGTACTTCTTCGCATCTCCTGCAGGGAAAAGAAGAATGAGGCGGGGAGAGATCCCAATGCCGATGGGATGCGTGGGCATCCACCTCCGAAGCGTGGGCAGGCCGAGTACATGCCTGCCTAGCTGTCTAGATCCAACAAGGGTGGCACACACAATGGTTCTACTTGAAGAATGACCCGCTGCCCCTTAGCCGGTCTTCACCGGCGCTGATCAAAGAAGCGGCTGCCGGCGTAACCGTGGGGCCACCCATCAAGGAAAAGAAGAGGATCGCGACATCCTCGAGGTCGTCGCATCCACG